CCCAGGCTGGTGCAGCTGTTCCAAGAACAGGAAATGTCCCAGGAACAGACTTAGAAGCACCCTCACACGAAGGCAGAAACACAAGACACTGCAGGGTGAAACACAGAAAGAAGCAAGACTAAACAAGGAGCACAGACACAGGAGTGGAGAACAATTTCAATCTCTCTGCACTAGAAGTCAATCCCAGGACATGAACCCAGGAAATGGTTCAAGAAGTGGGAATGCATGTTCTGTCCTGTTGCACAGGACGGACAGCTCCTGGCCTACCATTGTGCTATTTATAAAACTCCATGTCCACTTACTGAACTGGGTGACCATAAGAACGAGAAGATGTAAGGCAAGCTCCAAGAGGGAGGAGGGGGCCTGCTGTGATAGTGAAGAGCATCCAAATAAAAGAATGAGGGGGCTGGGGCAGTTCCTGGCTGTAGACCACTTGGCATTCTGGCTACCTGGCAGCTGCCTCATCCCTGACAGGAACCTAAGCATCCGGTACACTCTGAGACACCTGCTGGGGCTGATGGCAGGTGAAAGCCAGGAGAGGACCTGACTGGAAGCCTCTACAAAGCTTAGCAGGAGGTTCCCTCACAAGGTCAAGAATGCAAAGAGAGTTGGGGCACTAGTGGCTCACGCCAGTTATCCTAGATACTCAGTAGGCTGAGATCTGAAGATTGCAGTTCGAAGCTGGCCTGGGCAGGAAAGTATGTGAGACTCTTATCTCTAATGAACTACCAGAAAACTGGAAGTGGATCTGAGGCTCCAAGTGGTAGAGCCCTAGCCTTGAACAACAAGAGTTCAAGGACAGCACCCAGGCACTGAGTTCAAGCCCCACACTGACCAATCAAAAAGAACTGGACCTCACTCTCCAATAGCTCCTGGGATTGCTTGTCCCCTACAGCTGGTTCAGCTTCCTGGATGCAAGCTACTGTGGTAGGAAGGGAAGTTGGTGGCAGATAGAGCTGGGTTCAAATTCTGACTATGCCACTTCTGGGGACCTGATTTGGGGTAAGGAACTCTGAACCTGTTTCGTCATTTGTCCTGAGACTTGCTAGAAGGATATATGGAAAAACTTCTTGTTTCCATCTTTTATCCCAGGCAAGGAAGGAGTCCCAGCTGAGGAGAAAAGTACCTCTCCCACAAACTCAGCAACAGAAACACCTCACAAAAGTGACTGACTCCCAAGGTAGATCAGACAAGAAGGAAAGTGCTCCCTAGAGAGCTTCCTGATTAGCCTGTGGGCTGAGGGTCACAAGGAGGGAGCAACATCTGGCTCCCTGGCCGCTCATGGCACTATGGTCACACTGGGGTATGCAAGCCCCTGGAGGGCTTGTTAAAACACACTGCTGAGCCAGCGACTGTGGCTTGTGCCTGTAAGCCTAGCTACTCAGGAGGCTGAGATCTAGGGATCAGTTTAAAAGTCAGCCCCAGAAGGAAAGTCTGAGACTCTTATCTCTAAGTAAGCATCAACGAACCACCTGAAAGCCAGAACTTGGAAGTGGAGTTGTGGCTCAAATGGTAGAACATTCGTCTTGAGCACAAAAGTCTGAGTTCAAGCCTCAGAACCAGCATTAAAAAAAAAAAAAACTAAACTAAGCAAAAACAAACAAAAAATGTTGCTGACCCTTAAAGTCCAGACTTCTTAGGTCCAGGGTAGGAGTGGGGAATTCCCATTCCTTGCTCAGGGTGATGCTCATGTTGTTGGTGCATAGACCACACTGAAGGCCTCTGTTTCAGAATAAAGTCCCAGCCCAAAAATGTAAGGTTTTCCATTCCTGCTCACTTCATGCAGTCTGGAAGAGAGGACAACAGGAAAACAGACACACTCTCAAAGAAACATCGGTGCAGCTAACATTTCAGGGAAAGAGATGCACGTAACAGGTCACCCATGGCCCCTTCCTGACTAGCCACTTGCTGTCTGGCTTCTAGCAGTCCTGTTCTATTGCTGCTGTACAAACTACAAGCCAAAGAAAAAGGACAATGTGCAAATTAAAAAAAAAAAAAAAAGCCCCAAACAGGTCATTTCCAACTCAGTGAGCCTATGGTGCCAGTATCAAGCAAGTGAGAATGAGATTTCTCCAGGCTCAACACAAATCCATCCCCAGCTTCTCTGGCTAGCACAAACTCCCAGGAGCCTCCTTTCCTACAAAGATATCTCCCTGTCCCTTTTAGCTGGCTGTTAACTAGAAGCTGTTACCCCTGTCCTGTCAGGCTGTTAGCTGTGGGGTAAACAGCAGGGGCTTCTGGCAACAGCTGGTGACACATACCCACTGACAATTAATAGGGATTCAAGAATGGTCACATTAAAGCCACAGCAGCCAGCAGGGGTGAATAATTACTCACCACTGCTGCCCTAAGTGCTTTAAGGTCACTTTAAAGCTGGGGAAAACTCCTGCACCCAGATGAAGGAAGAGTCCTTCCTAGAAACTGATGTAACTTCTACCATGAGATTGAGGCCCAGAGAATTCAAATGCCATGTTCAAGGCCACAAAGCCAGAACAGCTCTCCCAACTCCCAATCTAGGATTCACTGCCAAGTATGCAAAAGCAATCCAGGGTGGGGACATAGTTTACATGGTAGAGTGCATGCCTAGCAAGCTTCAAAGCCCTGAGTTCAAGCCTCAGTACTACCTAAAAACAACAAAAACAGATTTTCCTTGGCCACCAACACTATAAAAACTGAATTGCCAGGGAAAGAACCAGAAAACGGTATCTGTTCTACTGTGACATCCTTAAACTGCCTCCAACAATTGCGATTGTTTCTAAGAAAAGAAAAATCACATCCTGGATGGGGGAGGGGAACCTGTGTTAGGTCTGCAAGAATTGAACAGTCTGTGCAGCCTTTAAACAGTTCCAAGGTCAAGTAAAACTATGTGTGTGTGAGTATGTGTGTATGTCCCAGGATATCATTCAGGGATTAGTGCCCTAGAGGGATCTGGGCTAGATTTCCGCTTCCAGAACAACCCTTGGAAAGTCCTCAACAAGAGAACACACTGGTGTCATGTGGAAAAACAAGAACAAGAGAGGCACCTCTCGCGGCAACTGACCAGCAACTGACCAGCCGGCTATACAATTCTGTGTGTGTGTGTGTGTGCGCGCTCACGCACGCACGAATACTGCGGTTTGAACTCAGGGCCTCATGCTCTCCCTTAGCTATTTTGCTCAAAGCTTGTGCTATAGCACTTGAACCACGCCTTCACTTCTGCAGAAGTGATAGAACTATGTGGTAAATATGTGGTAGAAGTAACAGAAAAAATATAAATATGAAAGTTGGCCAGTGGGGCTTAAACAAATTGCCAAAAATCAAAAACAAACTGCAAATAAATACTTTAGGGGCTGGGAAGGTGGCTCAGTGGTAGAGCGCTTGCCTGGTGGCATGCATGAGGTCCTGGGTTCAATTCCTCAGCACCACATAAGCAGAAAAAAAAAAAGCCGAAAGTGGCGCTGTGGCTGAAGAGCTGTGGGACAGCCCCCAGGCCCAGAATTCAGGCCCCTCGACTGGACCAAAAAAAAACCTTTATTAATCGTTCTGTTCAATCTTTTTTTTGACAAATGTGGAAATTAAGGTCTTGAAAAGGGGAGTATATTGGGAATGTGGCTTAGTGGTAGAGTGCTTACCTATAGCATGCATGAAGCCCTGGGATTGATTCCTCAGTACCACATAAACAGAAAAAGCCAGAAGTGGTGCTGTGGCTCAAGTGGTAGAGTGCTAGCCTTGAGCAAAAGAAGCTCAGAGACAGTGACCAAGCCCTGAGTTCAAGCCCAGGACTGGCAAAAATAAATAAATAAATAAAAGCTGGGTGCCAGTGGCTCACGCCTGTAATCATAACTACTCAGGAGGCAGAGATCTGAGAATCGAGGTTCAAAGCCAGCCCGGGCAGGAAAGTCCTTGAGAATCTTATCTCCAATAAACCACCAGAAAGCCGGAAGTGGCGCTGTGGCTCAAGTGGTAGAGCGCTAGCCTTGGGCTGAAGAGCTGAGGGACAGCGCCCAGGCCCAGAGTTCAGGCCCCACAACCAGACCCCCCCCCCAAAAAAAAGAATATCACAAAAAATATATATTAAAAAAAAGAATGTCACAAAATTTCCAAAGTGGCAGCCAGATTTCTTAACAGAACTAGGTACATTTTTATCTCGGGATATTTTCTTTATTTAGGAAGATTCCTAAGTAATGTCTGAGTGTGGAAAGATGCAACTCCTTTCAAGGATATGGCCTAAAGTAATAAAGAACATGAACTTGTGTGTAAAAAGCAGAAGTCTGAGTTTCTGGGAAAAATGGGAGGGTATGTCAGGAGTCAGTATGAGAGAATTAAACACTACACAAATGATTGTGCTGAAGAGAAACAACAACAAAAATCCCTCAATTTGAGGACTGAACTTATTGTCCCAGCTAGAACAATAAGAAGCAGAAAAGATGTATGAGAAAATGATGCCAGATATAAATGAATTGTTAAGAGATCTGCTGACATAGGCAGAGGAAAAGCTATGTAGGATGGACTCACAAAATGATCAAGAGCAGAGCAGAAGGGTGGGAAAAAAATGAGAGGTGGCCAGAAAAGAAATAAAAGCTCTAAGAATCCACCACAAAATACATGGAGTAGAATAAAATGAGATTTATCACAGTATAAAGAATGGAGGAAACCGGGTGCCAGAGGCTTACATCTATAATCCTAGCTAATCAGGAGGTTGAGATATGAGGATCCTGGTTCAAAGCCAGTCTAGGCAGAAAGTCCGTGAGTCTCTTATCTCCAATAAACCATTCAGAAAGCCAGAAGTGGAACTGTGGCTCAAGTGATAGAGCAGTTAGCCTTGAGCTGAAGAGCTAAGGGACAGAGCACAGGCTCAGAGTTCAAGCCCCGTGACAGACAAAAAAGAAGAAAAAAAAAGGAAAGGAGGACCCAACCTCTGTTTGGGGTGATAGCTGCATGTCCTTATTGGTGCAGAAGGAGGTTCTCCATAGCACAGGGCTCGTTAACTACTTTGTGCAGAAAAGAGAAGAGTCTGTTCCTCAGTAAAACCATGAATTAAATCCTATTTCAGGACTTAAAACTATGTTTATTTCCTAAATAAAATATATATAAAAAAAAAGGAAGGGGATAAGAGGAAACAGAATTCCACTGTGCTGACACAGAGACTTGAAGTTCTAGTTAAGATCATATTAAGAGTCAACTGATATTTAAAGGAAATAAACTACAAGATGTTTGACTAAGGCATAGATGGATTGAGTCTCATTAGCCTAAAAACTGTACAAAACAATTTCAGCAAACTGATGTCCACAACTTTGTTAGATGTGGTAGAAGTCTAGAGAAGTTGTCTCCACGCCTGGTGTGATGTAAGCAGCTTCTGTTGTCAAGTGGTATCCATAGCTCACAGCTGGGCTTAGCAGTGGAATCGAGTGGAGAACTTAGGAGAAACGGGCACAGTCAGAGGCTGGTCACTTGACTTCACCTCCACAGCCTGGTATTTGCGTATTGGATTTGCTTTGTGCACCTGCAGAGTAAGGAAACCAATGTTACCACTGACAGGGACATGATTGGAGAGCTGTGCTTATAGCTGCTCTTCATTTTCTTTTTCTTTTTCTTTTTTTTGGTCAGTCATGGGCTTGAACTCTGGACCTGGGCACTGTCCCTCAACTCTTCAGCTCAAGCCACAGCACCACTTCCGGTTTTCTGGTGGTTTATTGGAGATAAGAGTCTCACCGACTTTCCTGCTTGGGCTGGTTTTGAACTGCGATCCTTAGATCTCAGCCTCCTGAGTAGTAAGGATTACAGGCATGACCCACCAGAGCCCAGCTTTTCAGTTTCTTTTAAAGAACATGGCTAGTTTTATAGATTCCAGTCACAAATTCAAAATGAAAGAGGGAAAGATAACACAGTTAGATGGAAAAGTATGAAAACTCAAATAAGTTTCTATTAGGTCCTAAGAATGTCAAACTTTACCTCCAGTGTGACTTACTAGGAAGTAATGGGGCTGTAGTGAATTACAGGGAAGCAAAGTTACAAGTTCAGAATTTGTCATTGTAAAATGTTAAACTTACTGGCCTGACTCGGGTCTGTACAGGAGGCTGCACAGGAGGCTGGAATCTGAGGACAGTGGTTCAAAATCAGCTGGGTTGGGGCTGGGAAGGTGGCTCAGTGGTAAGAATGCTTGCCTTGCATGCATGAGGCCCTGGGTTCGATTCCTCAGCACCACATAAGCAGAAAAAGCCAGAAGTGGCACTATGTCTCAAGTGGTAGAGTGCTAACCTTGAGCTGAAGAGCTCAGAGATGGTGCCCAGACCCAGAGTTCAGGCCCCACGACCCACGACCGACCAAAATAAATAAATAAATAAAACAAAATCAGCTGGGTTTTGAAAGTTAAGATTCTTATCTCTGATTAACCAGCCAAAAAAAGGGAAAAAAAAGCCCAAAGCAGATTTTTTTTGGGGGGTAGGGGGGTGTCAGTGGTGGGGCTTGAACTCACGGCCTAGATGCTGTCCCTGAGCTCTTTTGCTCAAGGCTAGCACGCTGCCACTTTTTGAGCCACAGCTCCACAGAAGCCACAGCTTCTGGTTTTCTGGTGATTAATTGGAGATAAGAGTCTCCTGGCCTTTCCTGCTGGGACTGACTTCAAGTGTGATCCCCAGATTTCAGCCTCCTGAATAGTTAGAATTATAGGCATGAGCCACTAGCACCTGGCTAGCAGATTCTTACTTTTTTTTTGGTCGGTCATGGGGCTTGAACTCTGGGCCTTGGGCGCTGTCCCTCAGCATTTGAGTTCAAGGCGAGTGCTCTACCACTTGAGCTACAACACCACTTCCATGGCTGGCAGATTCTTAACATTCACCAAAAACATGGACTAAACCAAAAACCAACAATAAACAGGAATGAGAGGACCTGTCCCATTTATTCTAGAGGACCCGTCCCATCTATTCAAGACAGATTAGTAGTAACTGGCATCAATTGTGCTTTAGAATAATGCTATTGGCTTACTCTAAAAATTCTCTAAGAGGGGCTGGGAAGGTGGTTCAGTGGTAGAGCGCTTGCCTTGCATGCCTGAGGCCCTGGGTTCGATTCCTCAGCACCAAATAAGCAAAAATAAAAAAGCCGGAAGTGGTGCTGTGGCTCAAGTGGTAGTGCTAGCCTTGAGCTGAGGGACAGCGCCCAGACCCAGAGTTCAAGCCCCACGACTGGACCCAAAAAAAAAAAATCTCTAAGAAAAGTTTCTTAATGGGGACCACATGTTGAAGAAAAACCAAAGAAAGCCAGGCACTGGTGGCTCACACTTGTAATCCTAGCTACTCAGGAGGCTGAGATGTGAGGATCCTGGTTCAAAGCCAGCCCAGGCAGGAAAGTCCTTATCTCCAATAAACCACTAGAAAACCAGAAGTGGAGCTATGGCTCAAGTGGTAGAGAGCTTGCCTTGAGCTGAAGAGCGCAGGGACAGCGCCCAAGCTCAGAGTTCAAGCCCCATGACTGACAAAAAAAAAAAAACAACTCAAATCAGAAAGGACTGGGATGTAGCTCGGTGATAAGAATATTTGCCTTGTATGCATAAGGTTCTGGTATAGCAAAAACAAAACAAAAAAAACAAAGACAACTCTGAGTTAGTCACTATGCGTGCTGCCTAATTACCAGTTCTTTCCGTAGTCTGGCCAGCTCCTCCTTCTTCTGCTCTTCTTCCTGTTGCCTAGCCTCTTCCAACTGCTGGATTTTCTGGGCTTCTGCCTCAGCCATTCTCTTTTCTAGTTCCTGCCGCTCCTTGGCTCGCTTCTCAGTAGCCAGCTGAAAAGGTTCCTGAACTAGAGAACCAGAAAGGCCCTCTAAGCACAGAGAGAGAATATTGGTGCACAAGCAGTACTTGCATAAGCCTAACACCCCTTCCACCCCACAGGATTGAATTAAGTGGCAGAGACACATATAGCAACAAAAGCCTGAGTATGGCTTTTCACAAGAAGCTGAGATCTGAGGATCACAGTTCAAAACCAGCCCAGGCAGGAAAGTCTATGAGACTCTTATCTCCAATTAGCCACCAAAAAGAGCTGGAAGTGGAGCTGTGGCTCAAGTAGTAGTGTGGTAGCCTTGAATAAAAAAGGACCAGGCAGGGCTTGGAAGGTGGCTTAGTGGTAGAGTGCTTGCCTTACACGCATGAGGCCCTGGGTTCCATTCCTCAGCACCACATAAGCAGGAAAAAAAAAGCCGGAAGTGGCACTGTGGCTCAAGTGGTAGAGTGCTAGCCTTGAGGTGAAGAGCTGAGGGACAGTGCCCAGGCCCAGAGTTCAGGCGACCCAAAAAAAAAAAAAAAAGGACCAGGCACAGGGCCCAGGTCTGAGTTCAAGTCCCAAGACTGGCATAACAAAACAATAAGCAAAAGCCTGAGTACTAAGAAAGGTAGAGTAAATCACCTGTAACATGTCTTGGAATTTTAAAAGTTGGAAGAGCCTCTGGAAATCATCTAGTATAAACGGGAAAGAAGCAAGATCCACAGAAGTAAAATAGCTTGCTCAAAACTACAGGGTCAGGCTGAGAAAGTGGTTTAGTGGTAGAGTGCCTGCCTACCATGCATGAAGCCCTGGGTCTGACTCCTCAGTACTACATAAACAGAAAAAGCTGGAAGTGGCACTGTGGGTCAAGTGGTAGAGTACTAGCCTTCAGCAAAACAAGCTTAAGGACAGTGCCCAGGTCCTGAGTTCAAGCCCCAAAACTAGCAAAAGAAAAAAAAAAATCCTACAGGGTGGCTTAACGACAGATGTTCAAGTTCAATTTCCAAATATAATACCCATCAAATGTTTTATATCTATGGCTTGCTTCAGAGTGATCTGTAGAAAGACGTTTTTGGTCCTCTCTAACTTTGGGTGGAAAAAACCTGTATCTACTGTTGAAATGCCAGCTGCTTCTGCCAAGGCTTATGTATATCAATACTTTCTACAGTGCCAGGAAGGTGCAAGGTTCCAACAAAAGCAAAAGACTGGGTGGGTCTAGGGAAGAAAAGCTACCATCCTCTAGTCAAACATATCTGGTTGTCACAGCATTGCCCTGGCATTCCTGAGTCCAATATTCCCTGGGAATTCTGACATTGTGCCCCAATCCTCTAATAATATATAGAATACTACCAGCAACAGATCTTTTCTCTTTCTTGGGAACAAAGGGCTCCTGAGAGGTGACAGTGTTTGGACGAGCCTTGAAACAAGCTGCTTCTTTCTGCTGTTTCAGTTCTTCTTCCAGCTGTTGGGAAGAAAGTCTGTCAGTTAGGCAAACACACAAGTTTTCATGACTACCACAGCAATAATTCAAGTTGTAATGTTTCTGAACTGCTTTGTTATTAAAGACAGCAATGAATGGATTGCCAATGTCTCAGATCTGTAATCCTAGCTACTCAGGAGGCTGAGACATGGAAGACTACAATCAAAAGCTAGCACAAGGGGCTGGGATGGTGGCTCAGTGGTAGAGCATTTGCCTCGCATGCATGAGGCCCTGGGTTCGATTCCTCAGCACCACATAAGCAAAAAGGAAAATAAAAGCCGGAAGTGGCACTGTGGCTCAAGTGGTAGAACGCTAGCCTTGAGCTGAAGAGCTGAGGGACAGTGCCCAGGCCCAGAGTTCAGGCCCCAGGACCAGAACCCAAAAAAAAAAGAAAAAAAAAAAGCTAGCACAGGCAGAAAAGCCCAAGATTATCTCCAAATAACCACCAAAAATCCAGACTAGTGATGTAGCCAGTTCAAGTAGTAGAGAGAAAGTTAAACAGTCTCAAGGCTCTGAGTTCAAGCCCCTGTACTTGAACTTAAGAGAGAGAGAGAGAGAGTGTGAGAGAGAGAGAGAGAGAGAGATAGGCTGGGCACCAGGAGGCTGAGATCTGAGGATTGAGGTTCCAAGCCAGCCCAGGCAGGAAAGTCCCCATGAAACTCTATCTCCAATAAATACTCAAAAAAGCTAGAAGTGGCACTGTTGCTCAAGTGGTAGAGGGCTAGCCTTGAGCACAAAGAGTCTCAGGGACAGCACCCAGGCTCTGAGTTCAATCCCCAGGACCTATGGAAAAAATGATAGCAGATGATTTATTATAACTATATATGCACATGCACATGCATGCACATGCACAGTCATATACACACACATACACGTAGCACTTGTGGAAGAGGCCACACATGCAACCGAATATTTACTATCTAGACCCTTACAGAAAAGCGCACTGACTCTTCTTAGCTAAGGGTATACTACTTTAATCAAGTATATCAGCTTAGAAGCTTTCAGTATAGTAGAACCAACCACACAACCAACATACACTTAGCTACTTTCCCATCTCCCACCTGGTGTTTCCATAGCTCTTCCTTCTGAGCACCTCTTCGGTCAGTCTCCAAGAAGAAAGGCTCTGTTTGGGTCACATTCTTTACCTTTTTCTCTGGCAGGTGAACAGTATCAAAATGAGGCAAGGGAAGTGCCTTAAACTTGGGTACCTAATAGAAAAGAAAATGAGACTTAAGATAAAGAACTCTCACCCAGCATGATACCAGGGAAGTGTAATCCCAAGACTCACTCAGATTCTCTGTTACTAGCTCTCAGGCTACCAAGACAGACTCAATCTCAAAAACAAGACACAACAAAGTAAAATACTTTCTAACTAGGAAAGCACTATCTGCTACCACAAATATAGATGAACTTAAAAAAGAGAGTAGGGTTAAGTTTTCAAAACAGCCTTATCTACCAGAAAAGAATAATTGCCCAAAAGAAAACCTATATTTTCCTTTTAGTATTGCCACTATCTGGCATTGTAATTTAACCTCCCTGTATCAAACACAACTAAATTACTTGCCCTCCTCATATTGCTGAGAGGTCTTACAGTGATCAATGAAAGTCACTGATTTTATAGTTACAAGGACTACATAAAAGGTTCAATTTGAGGAATCAGAGGATAGTATTGTGCTACTTTTTTTAAAGAAATGGAAACACCTACCTCTCCTTTCTGCAGCTCTTTTATTTTCTTCTCCTTCTGTAGCTGGCGTTCTTTGTCCCGAGAGTCAAAGGAGAAAGGGCATATTTCCACAGCTCTTGGCTCTGGGAGTTGAGGCTTAAAAGGTACTCCATAATGTGGCATGGGTTGAGCTTTTATCACTACTGGTTCATCCTCTTCCTAATAGAGAAATTGAGTTTATAAACAAGACTCTCATTTCTCCTACCTCCTCACTCTGAATTTGAAGGCAAAAGAGACACATCAGTAATTAAAGAAGTCATTTAACCATACATGTCTTAGATTCCTTTTCTATCAAGGAGAGACTGCTAAAGTCAGCTACTACTACATAATAGGGATGAAAGCAATGTGGAAGCACTTGATAAAGAACTAACACAATTACTCTTAGAAGATCTAAAGCTTTTCATAGGAATGTTGGAAAACTAAGATTAGATATATATAAGTAAAATGAAGGTCAGAAGAAAGCAGACATACAAACCAAACATACAGACACTTTAGCCTCTTTTTTGATCCAGCCTCCAGACTCTACCAAAACATGTGACTGGACTTAATAGTTGCCAAACCCAGAATAGGACCAAGTAAGTTGTTTGTGTTCAAGTAAGTAACATAAGATTACTCTGTATTTTAGTTCCAAATGAACCTATAAAAAGGCTTGTGATTGAGATCTGCTTTAAATTATCATAATTCTGGATATTTATAAATAAAATGGGAGCAGTAATAAGAAACTAATATGGGGCTGGATGTAGCTCAGTGGCAGTGTTTGCCTAGCAAGGACAACTTCCTGGGTTTGATCCCCAGAACCAAAAAAGAAAAGACACACACACAAAATGTAAGTTAAAATAAAAACTCAAATAATAAGAAGCTAATATGATCAATGTTCCATGAAGCATTACCATAATTATCTACGTGCCCGTGGGTATCAAGAAGATATGAGAATGTGGATATACCTGAATAGTCACAACAACTCAGGCGAACTAAAGGACAAGAATTGGCAACTTTTGATCAAGACAGACTGACTTCACAGCTATGGAAATAAGCAAGCCTCTAACTCCTTCCTATCATTTTCATAAAGTATAATCAGTTATTACAGAGAGCAAAAAGTACTACTTTGCTCTCAGAAAAGAATTTGTTTTTTAAAGTTTAATGTATTTTCTTTTCCCATACCAGAAAATTGAACTCTGGGCCCTTACCACTTGTGCCATGCCTCCAGCACTAAATGTTCCTATTCTTCTTCTTCTTCTTTTTTTTTGGAGTTTGGACTCAGGTCCTCCCTCTTGCTAGGCAGGTACTCTACCACTTCACCTGCTGTATATATGTCATTCTTTTTCTTGTGTGTGTCAGTTCTAGGGCTTGAACTCAGAAATTATGCATTGAGGAGCTGGAAAGTGGCTCAGTGGTAGAGCACTTGCCTTGCATGCCTGAGGCCCTGAGTTCGATTCCTCAGCATCACATAAGAAAAAAGCCAGAAGTGGCGCTGTGGCTCAAGTGGTAGAGTGCTAGCCTTGAGCTAAAGAGCTGAGGGACAGCGCCCAGGCCCAGAGTTCAGGCCCCACAACCAGACCAAAAAAAAAGAAATTATGCATTGACGGAGCTCCAGTTGCACAATCGGTTAGCGCGCGCGGTACTTATAAGAAATTATGCATTGTCCCTGAGTTCTTGTGTTTTAAAGGTAGCACTCTACTACTTAAGCCATAGGTCCACTCCTGGGGCTTGAACTCAGACCTGGGCCCTGGGCCTGGTCCTTTTTTTTTTTTTTTTTTGGTTGGCCATGGGGCTTGAATTCTGGGCCTGAGCACTGTCCCTCAGCTCTTCAGCTCAAGGCAAGCACCCTACCACTTGAGCCACAGTGCCACTTCTGGTTTTCTGGTAGTTTATTCAAAATAAGAGTTTTACGTACTTTCCTCCCTAGGCTGGCTTTGAACCATGATCCTCAGATCTCAGTCTCCTGAGTAGCTAAGATTACAGGAGTGAGCCACTGGTGCCCAGCCTGGATTTTTTTTTTGTAGTTAACTGGAAATAAGAGTCTCCTGGACTGCTATCTTCAGATCTCAGCCTCCTGAGGAGCCAGGGTTACAGGCATAAGCCACCAGCATCAGGCTTATATCATCCTTTTGTGGGTTTTTTTGTCTTTTGCTTTTTGTTTGTATCATTCTTTTTTTTTTTTTTGGGTCCAGTCATGGGGCCTGAACTCTGGGCCTGGGTGCTGTCCCTCAGCTCTTCAGCTTAAGGCTAACACTCTACCACTTGAGCCATAGCGCCACTTCTGGCTTTTTTCTTTTTGCTTATGTGGTGCTGGGAAATCTAACCCAGAGCCTTAGGCATGCAAGGCAAGCGCTCTACCACTGAGCCACCTTCCCAGCCCCAGTTTGTATCATTCTTAAAGACAACTCCAGACAATTGTGATTGCCTTTGATTCAATGTTAAGGCTTAGCTTGCCTATACACAAGGTAAAAAGGCTCTATTCCCAAAGAATCACCTCATCTTCTCTTGTAGGCATCCGGACTCTGTTCTTCAATGCAAAGGCAGGTGACTTAGGAACAGTAATTGGAAGTACCTTCTTTTCAGGAACACCCTAGAAAGAATATGCAACTCAATCAGACATCCCAGAACAACCTCCAGTAGGCTGTGTAAAAGATTACAATCCTTTTCTTAAGGAAAATTTCATGTATCATGTCAATAAATCCCTCCACTCCCAGGCCTACGGAAGTGACCCTCTCATGGATCCCAGATCCAGATGCTCCGTTGCTTTACAAAACAGTATATTTGCATATAACTTATACACATCTCCTCTTATACTTTAAGTCATCTCTAGATTACTCATAATCCTAACACAATGTAAATGCTATGCAAATAGTCGTTTTAGGGAATACTGACCAAGAAGAAAGTGGGTGTATGTTCAGTATGAATGTACTTTTTCCCAAGTATTTTCTGTTTATGGTAGATAGATCTAGTCAGAGATACAGAACCCACAAAGGGCAGACTGTATATACAAAATTGATTATACGTCTGGGAGACAGCAAAGGAAGGCAGGATATTGTCTAAAAAGAAATATACTTTTTTTCTTGTTGTTGGTCATGGGGCTTGAACTCAGGACCTGGGTACTATCCCTGGGCTCTTTTCTCAAGGCTAACACTCTACTACCACTTTGAGCCACAGCTCCCCTTCTGGTTTTTGAGTGATTAATTAGAGATAAGAGTCTCTTGGGATTCTGCTAGAGCTGGCCTCAAACCTCGATCCTCAAATCTCAGCCAGTATAATCAACTTAAATTGTGTAACTCTCTGGCTAGACTATGAGTGCTTACTTTAGGGTGGGTACTATTTTATTACATCAAACTCTAATGCCTAAAACAGACTTTGATAAGTATATGCCATTCAGTAAGCATTCTTTAAATGACTCTAATAAATGATAATTTATACCTTGAATTCTAAAAGGACACTTATTTAATTCTAGCAATGATACAACTGCTTAGAACAGGTTTAGACTCTCCTTGGAGTGATTTTTGTTATAGTTGTTGGACATAGGACTTAAACTCAGGGCCTGGGCCCTATCTCTGAGCTCTTTTGCTCAAGGCTAGTTCTCTACCACTTGAGCCTTAGTGCCATTTCCAGCTTTTTTGAGTAGTTTATTGGAGATAAGAGTCTTAAGGAGTTTCCTAGCTACTGTTCTCCTAGCTACTGAGGAGGCTGAGATCTGAGGATCGAGGTTCAAAGCCAGCCCGTGCAGTAAAGTCCATGAAACTCTTATCTCCAATAAACCACTAGAAAACCGGAAGTGGCACTATAGCCCAAGTGGTAGAGCTCTCGCCTTGAGCTGAAGAGCTGAGGGACAGCGCTCAGGCCCAGAGTTCAAGCCCCACGACCAAAAAAAAAAAAAAAAAAAGAGCCTTAAGGAGTTTCCTGCCTAGGCAGGCTTTGAACCACAATCCTCAGATCTCAGCCTCCTGAGTAGCTAGGATTACAGGCATGAGCCACCAGTACCCAGCTAGAATGACTTTTAATCTCATATTTTAGACCATGCAAAACAAATGCTCAATCTTTACTTTTAATTATTTATTTATTTTTAGACAGGGTCTTACTGTATAGCCTCTAACTCCTGTTTCAGCCTCTAGAATGTTATTATTACATGTTCAATCTTTACTTTTTTTCTTTTTTTGCTAGTCCTGGGGCTTAGTCAGAGCCTGGGCACTGTCCCTGAGCTTCTTTTGCTCAAGACTAGTACTCTACTAACTGAGCAACAGCACCGCTTCTGGCTTTTTCTGTTTATGTGGTACAGAGGAATCTAACCTAGGGCTTCATGTATGCTACACAAGCACTCTACCACTAAGCCCCACTCCCAGCCCAATCTTTACTTTCAACTTAACAAAACTATTTCTGCCTCTATTACCTTGAACCACTCTGAAGTTTTAGTTCCAAATATCTTTAGATTAGGTTCTAAAAGCAAATGAAAGCTAGGTGTGGTAATAAATGCCTGTAATCCCAGGACTAAGGTGTCAATTTCTTTGTCTTAAAAATGGGAATAAGCCAGGCATTGGTGGCTCATGCCTGTAATCCTAGCTACTCAGAAGGCTGAGATCTGAGGATCACCATTCAAAGCCAGCCCAGGCAGGGCAGAAAAGTCTGTGAGACTCTGATCTCCAATCAACCACCAGAAAACTGGAAATGGTGCTGTGGCTCAAAGTGGTAGAGCGCTAGTCTTGAGCTGAAGAACAGTGCCCAGTATAATGATACAGAAAGTACAACTGTTAGAAATGGGTACTTTGGTTGGGAAGATTCCATAAAAATTTTTCTGGAGGAGAATTGGGGGAGGGAAAGTGGGAGAAAATGAGGGAAGGGGCAACATTTTATAAAGAAATATACTCATTACTTATGTAACTGTAACCTTTCTATACATCACACCTTTACAATTAAAAAAAAAATTCTAATAGACTTTGGCCTGTAGTACATGTGTTTCATAGTAAAAGAGTGGCAAGAGCATTATGTCTAGAAGAGGAATATCATACACAAAACTTTCAAGAAGATACAGTAATTATTTCTAAGTATAATAATTTTTTAATTTTTATTTATTTATTTATTTGGTCATGGGCTTGAACTCAGGGCCTAGGCACTGTCCCTGAGCTTTACTACTCAAGACTAGTACTCTACCACTTTGGGCCACAGTGACACTTCCGGTTTTTTGGTGGTTAACTGGAGATAAGCGTCTCACAGACTTTCCTGCCTGGGCTGGCTTCAAACTATGGTTCTTAGATCTCAGCCTCCTAAGTAGCTAGGATTACAGATGTGAGCCACCAGTTTATGACTTTTTTAACACTAGAAAATATTAATCTCAGAATATGAACAAAAATAGGGCCTCAAAAGTAATATATTATTTTAGTTTTACCAAAAAACACATTTAACTCTAAACCAAGCACCCTCTCCTCCTCACCCCCCCAAAAAAAGAGTAAACTAGGCATGGTTACATATGCTTATAGTCCCAATTGCTAAAGAGAATGACACAAGAGGATCTCTTGACCCCTTAGGCTCAAGACCGGATCAAGCAACATAGTAAGACCTCCAAAAAAGTACATTAATGAACAATTATGGTAGGATGTGTATAGTTTACATGAAAATACTGCAGTATTTTATTTAAAGGACTTGAACATCTTCAGATTTTGGGATCTGAGAGGTAGTCCTGTAACCAATTCCCCACAGACACTGAAGGACCATTGTGTAAAAATGAGTACAGAGCAGTTCCTGGAACATGACAACATCACAATCATGACAACTCTACTGCACACTGTCAATGTCAGTTCAAATGTTGCCTCTTCCATAAAGTACCTCCTGAATCTTCTGAAAAATATCATTTCCTGAATTCCTATACCTTAAATTCCCTTCTGCTATGTCTTATCACTTCCAACTACTAATAGTGCCCTGTGCACAGTATCATTTGAATGTTTCAGAGCCTCAACTATTCTTACCACAACATCTTCCAAAATCTTTGTAGGGCAAGGTTTGGAATGAAACTCGAAGTGTTCATCCTCTGATTTCTTCTTTGAATCTCGCTCCTGAATTCTTTTCTCAATTTCTAAATCAAAGCCAATAGGCTGAGTAGGCGGTTTCACGGGGGGTTTCTTAGGCAAGATGGGTCCACCTTCAAGAATTCTGGGATCAAGTTCCCGTGCTTTGAATTTGTATCTGTACGATGGATGTTTAAATGACAACCACAAGAAGAAAAAGAAAAAAAGAAGACTAAACAAATTATACCAAAACAAAAAAAAATTATTAAAATAACCCTCCATGGACAATACAGTTTCTACTCTCCCTACTCCAGATGGTCCCAATAGCTCTACTAATTTCTTGTTTTTTCATATCCATACACTAAATCATTTTTATTTATTTTTTTTGGGGGGGTCCGGTCGTAGGGCCTGAACTCTGGGCCTAGGCGCTATCCCTCAGCTCTTCAGCTCAAGGCTAGTGCTCTACCACTTGAGCCACAGCGCCACTTCTGGCTTTTTTCTTTTTGCTTATGTGGTGCTGAGGAATCGAACCCAGGGACTTGAGCATGCAAGGCAAGCGCTCTACCACTGAGCCACCTTCCCAGCCCTCATTTTTATTTTTTGTTTAAGGTAGTACTTACGTTTGAACTCAGGGACTCATACTTGTTAGGTAGATACTCTACCACTAAAACCATACACCCCAACTCATTTTGCTTTCATTATTTTTCAAATAGGGTCTCGCATTAATGCCCAGGTCAGCCTAGTCCATAATTCTATTTGTTTTCTCTATAGCTGGGATTGCAGACATGAGACACTGTGCCTGGCCTTGTTTCCAGTTTTGATACTAGTAACAATGCTGCACAAATATTTATAGACAAATTTTGTGTATTTGGGCCAACTTAGTAGTAATTCACTCTAAGTTTATAAAGATTTCTATGTATGTAATATTTCTAATTTTAAGCTTTTATTTTTTGCCTGTATAGGGGTTTGAACTCATAACTTCTTGATTGATTTGTCTTTCTTGCTCACAGCTGGCACTCTGCTACTTGAGCTATGCCTCCAATCCGGCTTTTTACTGGTTATTTTGAAGCTAGAGTCTCATAGATCTTTCTGCCTAGCTTAGCTTTGAAGTAAGGTTTACTTGAGCTCTTAAAAAATGATCTGGTATTTCTTATCACCTTTTACATGAGTTTGCTCCATTGCAATCAACTAATGAAAGAGATGGCTTTAAGTTCCTCACTAATACTCTCTCTGAACTCTGAAGTGTTCATTCTACCTCCATTCATAGAAACAAAAAAGGGCTTGGGATGGTGATGGTGTATCTCTGATGGCTGTTCTTCACAGCTGTAAACAGTTCTTAGCTCATAATTATTTTTTCATAATTTCATTAAATTCTGAGTTAATTTCCCTAAAAGATTAGGATTTCTCTTTATGGTAGAAGTTCCCCTTTTCAAAAAGAAGCACAAAGGCTGGGTGTAATGTATATACATATAATCTCAGTACTCAGGATGCTGAGATTAGAAGATTGTGAGTTCAAAATCAGCTTGAGCTACACAGTGAGACCTATCAATAAAATAATAATAATAATAAAATAATAATAATAAAAAATACATAAAATAATAATAATAATAATTGTGACCAGCTGGGCGCTGGTGACTCACGCCTGTAATCCTAGCTACTCAGGAGGCTGAGATCAGAGAATCGAGGTTCAAAGCCAGCCTGGGCAGGAAAGTCCTTGAGAATCTTATCTCTAATAAACCACCAGAAAACCAGAAGTGGTGCTGTAGCTCAAGTGGTAGAGCGCTGACCTTGGGCTGAAGAGCTGAGGAGCTGAGGGACAGTGCCCAGGCCCAGAGTTCAAGCCCTACAACCAGCCAAAAAAAAGAAAAGAAAAAAGAAAACTCTGACCTACGTAGAATAACTCCAAAGACATTCTTAGGTTAGAATTTAAGGGCTGGTACTATAGCTCAGTGTTATAGTACCTGCTTAACATGCATAAGGCCCTGAGTTTGATCCCTAGCATAAAAGAAAGAAAAGAAGCCAGGCGCTGGTGGCTCACGCCTGTAGTCCTAGCTACTCAGGAGGCTGAGATCTAAGGATCGAGGTTCAAAGCCAGCCCGGGCAGGAGAGACCATGAGACTCCTATCTCCAATAAACCACCAGAAAACAGGAAGTGGCGCTGTAGCTCAAGTGGTAGAGCGCTTGCCTTGAGCTGAAGAGCTGAAGGACAGTGCCCAGGCCCAGAGTTCAAGCCCCACGACC